AGGCTGCGGCGGTGTTGTCGACTTTGGCTGCTGCTGAGGCTGCGGCGGCGTTGTCGACTTTGGCTGCTGAAGCTGTGGCGGTGTGATCGACTTTGGCTGCTGAAGCGGCTGCTGAGGCTGTGGTGGTCTGAACGACTGTGGCTGGCCGAGTGGCCGCTGAAGCGGCTGCTGAGGCTGTGGTGGTCTGAACGACTGTGGCTGCTGAAGCGGCTGCTGAGGCTGCGGTGGTGTTGTCGACTTCGCTGCTGCCGACTTGGCCGGTGCTGCTTTGGGCCTCTGAGCCTCAAGAGCACGTGCAGGTGAGATCGGCTTGGCCTGCTGCTGTGCTGCCGACTTCGGCGCTGGCTCCCAAGACGATGAAGCTGCTCCACTGGCCTGCTGACGGGTCGGACTCTGCCGCCTACGTGACCCCGAAAGACCCCTTCAACTACATATCCACCTTTAAATCCACGAACCTTCAAGCCCAAACAAGCGAAAAAAAAGCCGTCCCTAAACCCTACACCCCAAACCCCTAATAAGCAAATTCCCCATCATCGCCTGAGCATTCGCACCGGGTGCCGCCTGCTGGAAGCTTGATTAGTTTGAAGTTCTAGGGATTCAGAGTGTACTAGGTGAAGAAGGCCTTAACTTCATTAAGCTTCCTTCACAGGGTTTCGGGGTTGATTATCAAGGCGCAATTTTAAGATGAAAAGGCTCAAGGGCTTTGAGCCTAAGGTTATGAAGTTTAGGAGTTTGAGTTCATCCCATCCGCCTGGCCCTCAGCAGCGGCAGCTTTGCGAGCAGCCGCAGCAGCCATCTCCTTCTGCTTGCGCTTCCTGAACATCTCTCTTGCTGCCGGTTCCTCAGTCATGAACCACGGGTTTTCACGGAAAAACACTTTAGGGTTTATGTAGTGAAGGGGTGACCGCAAAGCTGACAAAACCTCGAAGCCGGATTAAGGACAATTGCTGCTAGGAGTCCCTGTTCTTAAAAATTAAGGATTGAGGCTTTTAAGTTATCCAAGTTTGCAATCTGAGCGGCTCCGAAAAGGCGACAGCACCTTTTCCAGTCGCTGTACTCGCCCTTCTTCGGCATTGCGGCTCAGCGACGACTGAAGCTACACTGCTAGACCTCCTTAGGAGGTATTTCAATTTAATTTCACAAAGTCGAACCGCGGATGATTATTATCCCAAGCCCGTCCGTTCCCCGGGCTGAGAGTTTCGCGGCTACTTAAAGTCTAAGTAGCAACGACTGAGTGTGACTGGTAGGCAGTGACCAGGGAAAGTGGGATTCAGATCTAATCCATCATTAAATTCAGGTCTTTAAAGACTCTAGAATAGAATCAAATCAAGATGACGACTACTTCCACTGGTCCACTGCTCTGCGGCTCGACTCTCACTCATGAGCCGGCCACGACTGAACGGTATACATGTGCTTTCCGCCAAACCGTTTGTTAAACCTCACGCACACACAATGCCGGAAGTTAGGTAACAATAAGGCAATGATTGCACTGGCGCCTCGTCGACAGGCCAGCAGCAGGCAGCAGCCCAGACGCTGAAGGCAGCCCGAAGACGAACCTCGGCGGCCGGGAAGTATCGGTAGCCGCCCTCGTACCCCCGCTCTACGCTCCAAAGAAAATAAACAAAGAAGACAAATCAACAGCTTACGTGACAGTGGAGTAATAGGACTTCCAGATCAGCGAAGCTCCCACTTATGTCACAACTCCTATACTCCTATACACAATGTCCGACTAGAAAAAAGCCCAACATGGTCTTCTTATTTCCCCGGCTGATGATTATCCCAAGCCCACTGGCCATTGATTCCCTTGGTTGTGGTTTGATAGTAGGTGGGACACTGGGAATCTCGTTCAGCCACTCATGCACATCACCCATTAAAAGATGATGAGGCATTTCAACGGGTTTCGAGTTTAGGGGTCAAGGGAAGGCAACAGTGTGGGAATTTAGTTCGTCATCATCCATGAATGCACTTCAACTAGATGACCCAGCATCTGACTACCGACCTTCAGGGTTTAGGGTTTGGTGGAGGTTTAGGGCTCAAATAACGGTTTATTTATGCGATTCGAGGAGGGCAACTGTATGTGGCATATCCATTCACGCACCGACCAATGAGATCACGAGGCATTTGGCTACCTACCTCAAGGGCATTCGGGTTTAGAGGTTGTGGGGTTACATGATGGGTTAAGTTCTGAGGCTCAGGCAAAGCAGCAGTGTGAGCACGTCGACTGTGGCCACCTTAAGGGTTTAGGGCTTAGGGGTTCAGGGATGTGGGGTTCGGGGCTTAAGGGTTTGGGGGGTCTAAGTTTCGGGATCGGGGGCTTAGGGGGTTTCGGGCGGTGCTTTGTTAGGGTCGAAGTTTCCGGCTCGGTCCTTAGAGGGCTTCGGGGTTCAATGTTTTGGTGTTTAGGGCACTTCAGGCTTACTTGGTTTCGGAGTTCCGGGTTCTGGGCTTACGGGGTTAGCCCTGAAATAATAAAGCCCTTAATAACCCGAAGCCCCAAACGGCCCCAAACCCTGGACCCTTGAACATCCCCCGACTAGACATTTATTATCTAAGCCAAACACATGTATAGGGTTTTTTTAGGGTTAAAGCGATTAAGACGGTTGGGGCCTAGTTTCAGTTTCGGGTTTCGGGGGGTTCAGGGCAGGGTTTAAGCTTCAGGGTTGACGGTTTTGGGTTCAGGATTTTTGGTTTTGGGTTTAGGGCCTGGGGTTTACAGTTTTGGGTTGCAGGGCTGTGTGGGGGGTTTAGCGCGAGGTTTTCAGGGTGTTAGGTGGGGTTCAGTCAGAGTTTGGAGCTTTTTGAATGAGTTTATTGGGGCTGATGGGAGTTTGAGTGATTTTTGAGGCTTCGGGTTCTAGGTCCTCGTTGCGGGGCTTCACGGTTTTGGGATTTTCGGGTTTGAGAGGTTTAGGGGTTGATGGGGGGCGACAATGGAAGGGATTGGAGGCTTACGGTGGAGATTGTGGGGGAGGGGGGGGAGTTTTACTACTTGGATTTCTTGGGCCTAGGGTTCGGGGACGACTGTGGGATCTAGATGCATCATCGACCTTTCGGTCGCGTCCTTACGGACGACGTCCTTGCGGACGGGGGGCTTCGACCTTGCGGTCGCGTCCTTACGGACGACATCCTTTCGGATGGCTACTGACTGAAACAAAAACCCTGGCTAGTTACGTGAAAAACCTCACCTCTGACCTTGCACCTACCATCGACCTTACGGTCGCGTCCTTACGGACGACGTCCTTTCGGACGAACCCTCTTCGACCTTGCGGTCGCGTCCTTACGGACGACGTCCTGGCGGACGATTTACACTTACCTTAAATCCGAAATCCCCTGAACCCCAATCCCAAACCCTCCGAAATCCCCTGAACCCCAATCCCAAACCCTAAGGCCCTAACCCTTATATCCGAAATCCCCCAAACCCTAAGGCCGTAACCCAAGCCGAGGACTCCGTGCCACTGGATCATCGTCTCCGAGCTGGCAAAGTCAAAGGGCTTTGGGGCTTAGGGGTTTAAGATTCGGGACTTCGGGAGTTTGCGGGTTTGAGGTGCCTCTAGGGTTCAGGGGGTTTAGGGCTTTGGGTTTGAGATTTTAAGGGGGTGTCAGAGGGTTGGGAGCATTTCGGGTTTTTAAATAGTATAGGGCCAGCACTTGGGGTTTAGGTGGGGTTCAGGGTTATTTGTAAACATTTGTATGAGTTGAGGGCTGCTAGGATCTAGGAGCTTTAATGATTTTAGTGCTTGTCACTTGACTTGGGGTTGTAGGATTGTAGGGCTTCGGGCTTTGGGTTTGGGGTTTAGTCTTTTGTAATCTAGTGTTTGGGGTTTTAGGTTTAGGGCTCAGGGTTTCGGGGTATAGGAGGAACCACAAAGCTCCAAACACCACAACCCCAATGCCCTAAACTCTAAGCCAAGGAGCCCTAAACTCCTAAACCCCTGGACCTAAAAAACGACAAACCTGCCTGAAACCCCGAAGAACTTTAATCCTCCCTGCCCTACAGTGCTAGGGACAACCGCCAAGCCTGAAATTACCCTAAATCCAACAGCCTCAAGTAAGTCCTGGCCCCTGACCGTAACCCCGGGTACCCCTGAAGAACGGAAACCAAACAACAATACAACATACCTAAAACTCGTAGCCTTAACTAGCAATGCCCTCACCTCCGAAATAAAAACCCTACAGTAAGCCCGACAGCCCCATGCACTTGAAATCACCAAAAACTAGGCGTACCTCCTAGAACAAACAACTGTATCCTCAACTTCCTAAAACCCGTTTAGTAATCAAAAAGCCCGCACAGACCCTAATCTCCGAAAACTGTAATAAACTCATAAAGCCTTCACGCCCAAACTTAAATAACACCCAACTCCGAAATACACTAGTAGCCCTTTAAGTCGCCGGACACCCGCAGCCCCCCCCCCCCCCCCCCCCCCCCCCCCCCCCCCCCCCGAGGTCGCCTCCACGTCCATCGACTCGACATCTGCGGCTGCGGCTGCTGCTGCCGGCCCACCCACCCACCCACCCACCCCCCCCACCGACGACTGAACGACTGTGACAAAAGACAACGGCGACTTGTAACCAACATCGACAGCACACAAAAATCAAAAAAGATGTACGCACATGCATGTCATGTGTGTGTTTGTGTGCGTGTGTTCACAAAAACCTGGTCTGAGAATGATGCTTTCGAGGAGTTGTACTCCTGAGGAAAAATTGTTTAAGTTAAGTATGAAGCAAACTGCCCTTATTATTTAAAGTACCAGGAGTAGTGATAATAGGTTTCATAATGATAATCATAACAGTAAGTATTACCAACCAGAATAGTACCAAGAGTCTAATAACAGTACTAACGTAAGAATAGTAGTAATAGTAATGATGTAACAATAGTCATACTAGTAGTAATAATAATAGTAATACTAGTATTACTAGTAGTAATAATAATAGTGATAATAATAATAATAGTAATAATAGTAATAATAGCAATAATAGTAATAATAGCAATAATAGTAACACTAGTAATAATAATAATAATAATAGTAATAGTAGTAATAATAGTAGTAATAGTAATAATAGTAGTAATAATAATAGTAATAATAATAGTAATAATAGTAGTAGTAATAATAATAATAATAGTAATAATAGTAATAATAATAATAATAATAGTAATAATAATAATAATAATAATAATAATAATAATAATAATAATATAGGGGTATCCTATACCCGGCTCTGCAGGGCATTCTCGGGGGGTCGTGTAAGGCCACTCCCCTACTCAATTGGCACCCGACCTCTAGTCGAGTCTTCAAGTTGACCGATCTCACCTCGTCGGCTCCCTCGTCCGCAAGTCTCCGACCCAGCCGGACGCTGCAGGCTTCAAGCTCACCACAGGCCTGGGTCAACCTGGCGAGATCTAGTTCGGGGAGCCCTGAACAGCTTGAGGGCTTGGGGGTGGGTTCAAGCCCGTGCTGAAACTCATATTTGAGGATCCAGGCTTACAGCTTGAACTCGAACCTCCTTTACTCCCGGATCGGATTTGATAAGCGTCAGGGTCTGGGTGAAATCCCACATTGCGAGGTCAACCTGGGAGGAGCATTCTAGCCCAAGCCCCGCCCCGAAACCCAGGCTTCAGGGTCAAGACCTAAGTTGTGGCGCAAAGCAGACAAGGCTTAGCACTTTGCATGGTTGGGAACCGCAAACGGCAATTCAAATACGACCCTAAAGTTCGTGTATTTGGGGTAGGGCAGCGCACATAAAGCAAAGGGTGTCGGGAAGAGGGCGGAGAGGGCGGCGCACTACAGTAAGGGTAGTAGCGGGACGATGACTACAATTGGATACTATTTATGTTTATCCAAGCTTCTATGTGACGACACGGTGTTGAGCTTTCTGGGGCCAGGGTTCTGCGGTTGAAGGTGAGTGTTTCAAGGCGCGGGATCCATCGGCTCAGGCTCTGATATTGGCTGTCGGCATCGGGCGAGTTAGAACATGCATGTCGCAGGGCTTAGATGCTCTGAATTCTGAACTGAACAATCAGAAGGACAATGTTAGAATTGCTGGCATCTTGCTCTTAGGGTTTACTGCTTCCGCTTTGTAAGTCCCCGACCTTGCCCGGTACTGGCAAAATGTGGACTCCAGCTCGTGTTGGAGGTCATCGCAGCTGGTACGCCTTCTACGCTTCCAACTGCCCGTCTCGTCCTCCCTTAAAGCCTCAGATTCGACCAGCGAGCCGTAGTTCCAGCGACGCTTCGGCCGTCGCCACCCGAACTTCCACTTCCGCCTGAAGGGCTCTCTACAGCCACACTTCAACATCTTTGACGAACACAATCCTGAACCACTACTGTAGTAAACACCTGCACCCTACCAGTACCGTCCCTGCCTCCAGGAACGTCGCTGTCTGCGAGAGCCATATCCACTATAGTATGATTTCCGCTTCGATTCCGGCCCTGTCGTTGTCTTCGTCCTTCGGGAACCCGCTGCGGTTTCAGCGTCTAGAAAAGCCCTCAACCCCAGACCGTGTGCCGAGGGTTCAAAGCCTGAAAACTTGGAGAGGCCAGGCGCTGAAGCTTTCACGAGGCCTGAATAATTGTTGAATAGGGTTCCCAGTTCCTTGATTGAGATTGTAAAGCACCCCAAACCTTACATTCCCTACTACAGTAATAATTTATCGAATACACAGAAGCTCGGCGCTTAGGTCTTCAGGGTTTAGGACTTTCAAAAAGCCTAACCCTTTTCGGGGATAGTGCCTCAAACAGTCTTTGTCTGACTGGTGCTGGCAGAAGAATCCACACAGCCCCAAATGAAGCCTCAAACCTGGAAGCCTCAAGCTCGTGCACCCTGAACATCCAACCAACGCTAAGCCCCAAACCCATGCACGCCTCATCAGAATAGGATGTGTGGGAGTATTGCAGCATACGCATACGTAATTCAAAGAAATTGTCTCCAGGACAATCTCCAGGACTTCTTGTTCTGGCCGCACGCATGTCGTTTCGGGGGAGTGACACATGGCAGATCGCGATCTTGCTCAAGACGGGATTTGCGAGCCGATTCCGCTACATTTCAAGACTAGGCCCACAGCCCCCAGCCCCAGCCCCAGCCCCACCAGCCGCAGTGGTCTGCCAGCCCCATGGCCTCACCAAGTGGACAAATTCTGGTCCTCGAGCTTTTTCCCTGGGACTGGGGAGGGTTGGGGTGTGGCAAAACTTGGTCCTGGAGACTAGTCCCCATGCTCTGCTGGGATCGAGAAGCGACCGGGGGCTGGGGCAATCTGGTCCTGGAGATTAGTCCCCATGCTCTGCTGGGATTGAGAAGGGGGGGGCCTTGGGCAATTTGATCCTGGAGATCGTCAATCCCAGCAGAGCATGGGGACTAATCTCCACGACCAGGTTTTGCCACACCACCGCCCCCAGCTCCACCCCCAATTGCAGGCGGAAAAATCTCGAGGACCAGATTTTGCCACACCACTTGGTGGCTGTGGCTGGCCATGGGGCTGGCAGACCACTGCGGCTGGTGGGGCTGGGGCTGGGGCTGGGGGCTGTGGGCCTAGTCTTGAAATGTAGCGGAATCGGCTCGCAAATCCCGTCTTGAGCAAGATCGCGATCTGCCATGTAATACAAGTGATGGCAACGCTTCTATCTCTCCAGACCTCTACGTCAGATCTTGCTTTAGGGTCCAGCTTAGTTACTAAGTGCTAATTACTAGTTAGGTTATTTACAAGAAGAATCCAGCACGCCTGACAAAATGGCCGGTAAACCCCACTGACCTACTGTCATAAGAAGACTCCTGAACGAAGGGATTTCGGAGTTTTCAGAATCGTCCTGCAAGCATCGTGTCGGCCCTCAGCCTGGTGCACGGCAGCTTCCAAGCCTCGGGTGCTTCGGCTTTTGGGGTTTAAAGGGTTTAAAGGCTTTAGGGCATTAACCAGTTTTGACAAGTTTGCTGTAAGGCTTGTTGGGGCTGCTTGGGCCTGGAAAGGAAAGAACACGGATCTGAGAGGACGTTGTTTCTGCAATGTGTAGCGGGATCATACAAGTAAGACAGCAGGCCTTTCGTCCTTAAGCCATGGGCTTTTCAGCCCCAAAAAGCACACTGAAGCTCGAACTGGCTCCATCCCACACTCCGGAACGCCAAAGCCCTGAAACAAAGCTAGCCCCAAACCAGGAAACCTAAGAACCCCAAAGTCCCAAGTTCCGCTGCTCGTTGCAGCCCGGAAGCTGTTGACACCCTGCTTTCCCTGGAACGCCCCCTCGAGATCGGCGTTGCACTGCGCCACGCCACTCCGGAGCTTCTCCTTAGTTGCTGCTTGAAGATGCTACAGGGTCTAGACGGGATTGCGTGCTATAGGGCTTCTTACATGGCTGACAAGGGTGTGATGGGATGTTTATAGGGTTAGTATGCTCATTTTCCCGATTTCATACGGGTTCTTCGAGGATCGTGTAGGGTTGAAAGAAGTGGTTCGGTGGATGGATTCATCTTTGCGTCCCTGTGCTAAGGACCATATGATTACAACATTCTGGCCGTATGTATGGTGCCAAGCTACAAGGCTTCAGGGTTTTAAGGCCAAAGGTTTTGCCTGGTTTCTGTGTTTGTAGACCAGGGGCTTACGACACTGCAACACTGCAAATTCCGACCAATTTCTATCTGAAGCCGCAGGCAGCAAGCGGCGAGACGCTGCAGCGAAACGTCCAAGGCTTACGGTCTAAACTGTCAAATCCTGGTCCTAGGAAGTCGGCGCCGCACTCCTGCACCTCCTGTTCTTATCACTGCGACTTCTTCATTCTCATCAGTCCTATTATGCTGATACCAAGATGGAGAGAATGACTCTGGCCATGACGACGTATTACATCCCTACCGCACAGGCACGCAAACCAAGGCAAAAGAACCTCGACCCATGACACCGCTCTGAAGACGCAGCTGTAGTCAAAGCCTGAACCTTCAACCTTACAACCCGGCATCCCGGAATTTGAACCACTCTACCACCAACAAAACTCGCAAAGCATCCACTGCTGCGACGTCCACAAGGATTGCGTGGCTTCTTAGAACTTCCAGCTCCTCCTGATCGAAGCTTTGCGACCAAGACTAAGAGTACTGGTCACAAGCAAATTAAAAATTTACTACTACTACTACTACTACTACTACTGCTGCTGCTACTACTACTACTACTACTACTACTACTACTCCTACTCCTACTCCTACTCCTACTACTACTACTACTACTACTACTACTACTACTACTACTACTACTACTACTACTACTACTACTACTACTACTACTACTACTACTACTACTACTACCTGCTCGAATGAGACTGAAAGAATCTAGAGTAACTACAGTATTGGAAATGTCGACAAAGACTATGGAATCTGATAAACAACAAGGAGCAAAACCGTCGAAAAAGACTCGAGAATTTGAGGACAAGGAGCAAACCGCTCGAAAGCTATTCGGACAATCTAGAAAAGAACCTAACCACTCGAAAGAGACTAGAGAATTTGTGAAGGAGGAGCAAACCGCTCGAAAGGGACTAGGAAGTTTCAGAAGAAAGGGCAGACGGCTCGAAAGGGACTAGAGAAGTTGAAAACACAGGAGCAATCCGCTCGAAAGAGACTGAAGACTTTGAGAACAAGGAGGACACGGCTCCCAAAGAACAGAGTCAGGAGCAAACCATTCGAAAACGACGAGCAACCGGCTCGAAAGGAACTAGAGAATTTCAGAACAAGGAGCAAACCGCTCGAAAACGACTGGAAGATTTTGAGAACAAAGAGCAGACCAAGCGAAAGAGAGTAGACAATTTGAGAACAAGGAGCAGACCGTTCGAAAAGGACTAGGGGATTTGAGAAAAAGGAGCCAACCACTCGAAAGAAACTGCAGGATTTGAGCACAGGTAGCAAACCGCTAGCAAGGGATTAGAAAATCCTAAACTAAAAACAAACTGCTCGAAGGACACTAGAGAATTTGAGGACAAGGAGCAACCCGCTCGAAAGAGGCTAGAGAATTTGAGAACAAGGCACAAACTGCTCGAAAGGGACTAGCAACCCTGAGGACGCCAGGAGCGAACCGCTTCAAAGGAACTAGAAAAACTCGAGAACAGGGAGCAAACCGCTCGAAACGGCCCAGAGAATTTGAGAACCGGGAGCAACCCGCTCGAAAGAGACTAGAGACTGTGAGAACAAGGAGCAATTCGCTGCAAAGGGTCAGAAAGAGAAAAAAACATTCGCAAGAGACGATAGAAACTGTGGACAAAGAGCAAACGGCTCGAAAGGTACTAAAGATTTCCGAACAAGGAGATACCGCTCGAAAACGATTGTCGAGTTTGAGAACAAAGAGCAAACCGTTCGAAAGAGACTAGAGACTTTGAGAACAAGAGGCAACCCGCTCCAAAGACACTAGAAAATTTGAAAACACTGGAGCAAACCGCTCAAAAAGGACTAGTGACTAGCGAACTTAAGTCGAACTGGCAATCCGATCAACAGAGAAGAAGAGAAGTGGAGAGGAAGGGGCAAACCGCTCGATTGTAACTAGACTGGACTGTTTGAAAACAAAAATCACACCGCTCGACAACGACTCGGCAATCTGATAAACAACAAGGAGCAAACCGCTCGAAAGGGACTAGAGAATTTAAGAACAAAGAGCAATCCGCTCGCAAAGGATTCGAGAACTCGGGAAAAGGAGACAGTCGGGCCGATGGAACTGGGCGACCCACTTCCGGGTGTTGACCTAGGAAGATGCGTGACATGCGCATCAGTGCTAGATACGAACTATGATGAGCATCAACTTCCCGAAAAACTATTAGCTGAGTGGCGGCGCGAAAAAGCCCAGATTATGCAGAGAGCGTGTCATGTGGAAGAGACGCATAGCGCTGTAACATGGTGAACCACATCTTTCTACGGTGTGTGGTCGTTTATTGAGCTGCAAACCCTGTTATGGACAAATCATAAACAATCCAACAGAATCACAACCGACAAAAAACAAACCAAACAACACCAAAATGAAAAAAAATATATATATATATATATATATATATATTCTACTACGCGACTCGTTCTAGTTTTTGCTGCTTCATTGCAAGAGTCTCAGAATTGATATTTGTTTTGGTTTTTGGGGCTTGGTGTTTTGGGTTTTCCGTGTTTTCGTGCTCGTCTACTGCCACTGTCTGTTTTCAGGGTGTGTGGGGCTGCGCGGGGTTTAGGGTTTAGGGATTCCCTCCGCTCTTGGAAGAGCTGAGCAAGCGTGACATCGTCGAGGATGCGCACCTGGCGAAAGCCCAAAACGCAGCGGTAGAATTCCGGCCTGGAACCCCTAATTAATACTAGTAGCAGTATCCTTCGAAACGTTTGGGTTAATATCAACATTAATTAGTAATCCACAACCAAGCCCCTCCATCATCCGAAAACCGCTGTGAAACCCGCAAATCATCAAGGAACAACTGCACAGAACCCCTACATAACACACCTTTAGAACCCTGTTCGAGAGAGTTACATTCCACAATACAGAAAGGAGCTCGTCCTGCACAGCTTCGAGGGACTTGGAAGTGCCGTTGCCAAGCTCGGCATGGCTTCGGTGGATCTCGGCGGCCTCCACGCTTTCGTGCTTTAGGGCTTTCCGTGTTTTGAATGCTTTTGAGAGTTTAGGTTTGGGCTTGGGTTTTCAACATTACGCGAGCCCACAGGCTTCCACATTGGGCAGTTTCCCGGCTTCCATGCCCAAAGGCGGCTTTCCGTGACAATTTTGGTGGGCGTCACGTATCGTGCTTTGCCCCGGCCCAACCATAAACTGCGTCAAGCTGACATGTCGGAGCTCCAATCAACCGAAATGTATTGCCAAGTTCCAATGCCTTCATGCACGAATCTGGTGTCCGACCCGCACGCAATCCTTCTCCTTTCGAGCGGCTCCTGTCTCCTTGGCAAAATGCTCGATTTCCTTTGAAGCGCTGCTGATTTTCAATGGCTCCAGTCCGGCCTTGCCTTTTCATGTGTTTTATCTTAGGCTGTGGTCCTTTTCGAGCTCTCTGCCCCTCTTTCGAGCAGGTTGGTCAAACGAGTTCTAAATACTCTCTGTTCGACAACAATGCAGACAAGGTTGCTTCAGAGTTTAGGGTTGAAGGGTTTAGGGCTGTCGGGATTTAGGGGCCGTCGGTTGAGGGGTTAAATGTCTGGAGCTCGGGGTTTGGAACAGCAGCAGCTTCATCCAACGCTTCTACTGATGATGATGACGATGATGATGATGATGGTGATGATGATGATGATGACGATGATGATGATGATGAGGAGGAGGATGATACTGATGATGAAGATGATGCCGATGATGAGGATGGTGATGATTATGATGATGATGATGATGAGGATGATGAGCATGAGCATGATGAGCATGATGAAGATGAAGACGATCATGATGTACGTGTTGGTGATGAGAGAGAAGGATGAAGGTGATGCCGTGCTTCTGCTGCTGTTGATGATGATGATGATTCTCAAGGCAAGGACCATATCGACGAGGATGTAAATCAGGGCCGCAAGCCATTCCATAGCTCTCCCAAAGTCTTTGCCTAAGACCTGGATTGTAAAATCTAAAGTAGGCACGGTGTTCATTGTATAAGTGAATATACGTATTATATATATATATATATATATATATATATATATATATATATAATCTACATACAGACACACACACACACACATAGCCAGGCTGTATAAGAAACATTACTGCGTGCATGCATACATACATATTTACATACATACATACCTACCTACATACATACACATACACATACATATGTACATACCCGCATACATACATACATACATACATACGTACATACATACATACATACATAGACAGACAAACATATGAACGCTGCATGCTCGCATCTGTCCGTTCGTCCATCCATGCATACAGGTATACATGTCAGAGTATATGCCGATGTATGTGTGTACATCTGCATGTGTATATATATATATATATATATATATGCCGCCAAACACATGGAGTATCCGCCGCAGGATCTGGTACACAAGTTCCAGATCATCGGTTCCGTACGACCGATTCGCTTCAACCCAGCTCTGCGTTACCGAACCCACATGCAGTTTGCATCTCGCAAAGCCCTGCACCACCACCCAAGTCTCATGATCGGTGCATGGCTTGACAGGGAACCAAACCGACTCACTTATGTTTACTGTTGATTTTGGGAATTTGGGGCTTATTCAGCCTTTAGCGAAATCCAACTTCAAGGCCAAAAGGCTACTGCCGGAGAACCCAGAACTTCCCCCGATCCCGATCATCTCAACCCCCTCAGACTTGAAAGGCGAACACCCTGAAACCCTAAACTGACCTCTAAACCTGGAATGCAACCTCGGAACAGCCAATCTCCCAATTCCCCCCACTCCCTGTTTCTGCACCCCCGAAGCCCCAGGTCCAGAAACTGGTAAAAACATCTTACTTAAGGACTTGCCCAGCCCCGTAGCCCGAGTTGCAAGAACCCTGTCGTATCCCTGATGTCGTATCCCTGAAAAAAACCTCATCAGATGCTCTAAAGCCCCGAACCCGCTACATACAAACACTACCCAAAACCTCCAACAAAGACACAAGCCCGGTGCCTTTGCGAGGTCGTCACTCAGCTGTGCCAGCCTTCGGCTGAGGGCGCCGCTGCGGCTCAGCTGAAGCAGACTCTGGGAAGCCACCTCCTGGCACCGTGGGATTTTGGGTGCAGGGGTTTAGAGGCTAACGGACTTAGGGGCTGAAGAGATTCAGGGCCTAAGGCCTCATGTGCATCGAGGATGAGGGTTTGGGGGTGCTGCGGCAAGAGAAAGCGGGAGGTTTTGGGACCTGATGAGGCAATCACCGATGCGTCAGGTTCCTACATGAATTCGGTCATGTGCCGGAGACCCGCGAGTTGGCATCGGGGTTTGAGGTTTTGGGGCCTGCGGCTTCAACGGGGATTTCGGGCCGTAGAATGTGGGCTTCCGGTTGAGGCGTGGAGGTACATTGCACTAACTTGCTCTTGGAAGATTTCCGAGGCATAGCAGGTTCTAGGTGTTTCTAGGTTCTGATTTGGCCCGCAGAGGTCAACTCATAATGAAAACACTGACGTGAGCTATTACTCGGTAACTTGGGCTGCTCGCTTAGCCGCCCTTCTTCGGCTTCATTGGCGCAGCCTTCTGCGATTCACAAGCCTGCACTCACGTTCCATAGTGGCTCTGCGCGCGTCTAAAAAAGTCTGTCGGAAGCTCAGTGTTCAGGGGTGCCGAGTTTGCAGGCAGCGCACGGAGAGCGGTCCTTATGGAACAAAACGGAAGGAATCCCCGGCCCGAAGCGAGTCCCGACAGGCCAAACACTCAGCCCGAAACTCCTAAATGCCCTAAACTCCAAAGCCCCTACATTCTGATTTCTGAACTTCTGAACCGAAATCCTCAAACGCCTCAACCCCCAAAGCCCCCAAAGTAGGCACAAGTCTTGCTGAACCTGTCGGGCCTGAGCCCTAGCCCTGGACTCCCAGCCTCAAAGGAAACATCGAAAAACACACTCCAATTATTTGCTAGATTCTTAGCCTACATGTACGGCCTTACGGCTGATTGTGCCTTTCCTTCCCACATAGCGAAACTGCAAGGATCCCTCAGTCAAGCTCTCCTGCGCCTCCATCCCGAATCGCTGCGCCACTCCGCTGTCTGCGAGGACTCCGTAGTGCCACCAGCCAAGGAGAACCTCTGAGATGCTTTTGTCGCACTTGGAAGCTTATGCAGGTAGAGTCAACAATAAAGCAACTAAGGGACACGCAACAACACAGGGCAGCTTACCTCCATGGGAATCTAAACTTTCACGGCTTAGGCTTGAGGGTTTAGGTTTTTCTTTAGAAAATAAGTCGCTATAAGGTCTTATTTCCGTTTAAGGAGTTCTGGCTTGATGGGTGTAAGGGTTGTTCCTTGAACCTGACCAACAGGGGGTTTGCGGTGAATACTACTAATACGTATTCTTCCTTCAGGTGTGCATCCAAAACAAATACACCCAACAAGACCCGACCCTCAAAGACTAAAGCCTGAAAGCCTGTAGCCCGAGCACTAAACCTCCAGCCCACAACCCGAAATCCAATACCGTAAAGAACTCGAAGAGCCCCAAACCCTTAAGCGGAGGCACTGGAACCGGTCGCGAAAGTCGGAGCACTAAATTGTGCTTTAGTAATGACATATCTATGGTACCGCAGCCATAGGTCACGTTATGGTGCCACTTCTGAGGGCCAAGGAGAAGACATGACCCATTTTTGTGTCATGACATGCACAAAAAGAGAGAGTTTAAGGGTTGAGAAACTCGAAGCCCCGAACAAACGGCTCGATGAAGACTGCATCCTCTGCATAGGTTTTGAGTCTGGCTTGTGGAGCTTTTAGTTCTAGAGGCTTGGGTTGCCTTTGATAGGGGGAGGGGGTTGGCACGATTGGGCTTCGGAGGCTTTTGCTTTGGCAGTGGCCCTTTGGCTTTAGGGCTTGGGGTTTCGCGATTCAAGGTCAAGGTCTGAGACGCAAAGCTTTCCCTTTCATTGCGGACAGCTTGCCACAACCATAGCCGTCGACGAGGAAGCCATGATTTTGCAGCTTAGGCTTTAAGGTTGAGGGGGGTATTAGGGTCAAGTGCGATACGTGACCTTCTTGGACTGCACCAACTCGTAGAGGCTGTAGTTTACGGCGAAGTTTGAGGAACATCAGGGTGCAACAAAAGTTCCCTAGATGCTCCGGCACGAAAAGAAGTCGCCTAGCCTAAGCAACCCACTACAGAAGGCGCCTAGCCTAAGCGACCCACTGCGTGTACCTCGCTGCAACCTCGGAAGCGGCACGGAGGTACTGCAACTCACGGACCTGTGCAGCGGCGACCTGGCGGTGCCAAGCTCGCCTCGCCGACCCGTGCCAGGCACGGAGTACACACTGCTTGGCCGCATCGTCGGCGACCGCGTTGATCCTCCTGGCGCGAGCAGCTTCAACACCCTCGGGTGGCCGCCAACCCTGAGAGGCACGACCGTGCGCAGGCACCCAGGAACAGGTGTAGTCGACTCCATATCTGTGCAGCGACCGGAAGGCATCCTGGACGCGGCGTGCGGCGTGCAAGAACAAGAAACGGCCCACTGTAAGTTGGAGCACAGACCTTCAAGGCAGCCTGGCAGTCACACAAAACGTAAACCCTTGGCAGAGGAAGCCGCGCGGCAAGGCTCACGAGCGCCTCGAAGAAGACGACCAAAGCGACGACCTCGGCGATGAAGGGCAGGTGATCCTCAGTCTCCAGCAGCGACACAGCCGTACCGGTTGCTTCAACGGCCACAGACCACCCAGCCACAGATTCCTTGGCAGAACCGTCGGTAGCACACAGCAAGAGTGCAGCACCGCCCTGGACAGCGGCCTCAAGCAGTCTCGAGACTTCGTCACGAGCTTCACTGACAAGAAAGGCCTCCGGAGGAGGCGGAAGCTCCGGCACAGCTACAGCGAGAAGTCGTTCTTCAGCTCGATTGACTGGCGAAGTGACGCCTTGAGCAAGGCGAACCGAAGCGAATGCCTGACACTGAAAAACGAGGTGAGGCCGGCTAGGCATCTCCAGCCCACACAGGCAGCGGGTGTGCCACTGCTGCCGAGGTCGCTTGTGGAACGCGTTCTGGAACCAAACCGAACACCCCGAGCCTAAGCAAACCACCCGAGTAGACCGGGAAACACCCTGCTCGAAGAAAACTCTGCGGTGTGCTTTTGCAGACAAAGCAAGGTGAGCGGCAGGCTTAGGCAACAGTATGCCCTGCGCGAGAGTCGGGTCGTCATGTCGGTGAAGCGAAGCCAAGGCACGGCGCTTGAACTCATGCTTGAGCCAGCCGCGCAAGCATGACAGGCTGTCGACCCCGATCCTGAACGAGCGGACGCGACCAGCCCCATCACTGCGGTGGATGACGGCCCCATCAGCTGAAGCCCACCAAGCCAGACTGCTGAGGACCTTCGCGGAACCAGGAAGAAGAACAGGCCACTGCTTCAGCGCGAAGCGAAGACAAACCTGCTCATGCCAAACTGGAAGCCGAAGCTGCCACCTGACAGCAGCCTGCAACGAGGCCCACTCGAAGGCAAACCTGGGGTCGCAATCCCAGCCAAAGATCTCGTAGACCAAGGCCCGGGGGCAGTCACGGAGAGCAAGATGGCCGATCAAAGCAAGGCTGATCTCCGTCCGCAGTGCAGCTAAGGAACCTCAGTGGCGACCGAGGCGATCCATGAGAACTTGGAAGTGACCAAACACCGGAGAATGGCAGCACGAGCCCCGTAAGGAAGACCGAGGATGCGCAGGAAGCGGCATCGCAGAGCGAGCTCAACCACATCGCCTTTAGCCGGCACACAACCGCCACTGGATTGATGGCGCAGCCCCAAAACGTTCAGTTCTCCACTGGCAGGGTAACCAATGTCCTGGACGAAGTCAGCGTACAGCTCCAAGCGGGAAGAAGCAACCTGGCACTTGCGAGGCCTGCAAGCGAACAGGCAGGCAGCATCGAAGCGCGACGACCGGAGCAGAGCAGCACGCATGGCATGGTCAGCAGCAGCGCCAATGGCATCAGACCACAAAGTCCTGTCATCTATGTAGATGACGCCATCAACGCCGTCACGGCAGACAAGCAAAGCCCACACTTGCAGCAGAGCAGCAGCAACGAGAGGGCTAAGCGGGCAGCCCTGCAAGATGCCGTTGGTGACGGCATGCCACTTGCCACCGACATGGCCCGCGAAGCTGAAAAGCCTTTCCTGACCGGAGTAAAACGACTTCAACAGAGCAATAAGCTCACAAGGGGCACCCCAATGCCGGAGGGCACAGAGAGCCAGCTCAAGCGAGATGCAGTCGAAACACTTGCTCAGGTCCTGGGCAACAAAGAGACGAGCAGCGCAGTCAGTCATGGCCTCGTTGATGCGAACATGCGCTTGCTCGACGGAGCGCTGGGCGAGGCCCCCCAGGATGTGAGGCGAGGCCCAAGAAGCACACCACGGACGGAGATAACTGAGATAACGAACAACGTGCTGAGACCCGAGGCGCCAAACCACCGGCGTGATGGACAAAGGCCGCCAACCGCCGTCGGGCTTCGGCAGCAAGGAGACCCTGGCACGTTGCCAAGTGGCGGGAATGCGACCGGTCGACCAAACAGCCCGCCAAAGGTCAGCGAGCGCATCAAACCAAGCGTCAGGCAGACGGATGAGGTCCTCAGGCCCCCAACAATCATGCCCCGCAACACGGCCACACATGGCCTTGGCGCCGCGACGAAGAGCTTTGCCACACCAAGCAACCTTGCCTTGGGACGGAGACTGAGCACCTCCAACCTCACGCAAAAGCACTTCAAAAGCCTCAGTGGAAGGAGCCTCACGAGACCAAAGAGGAAGCCACTCCTCCTCGGCCTCACGAATCACACTCACTGGATGCAAGGCACGAAAAGGAAGAGAAGGATCGCGACTGCGGGGGGGAAGGCCGTCCGCCTCAGCAGCAACCCTCTGTTTAACCCAAGCGATGGCCTTGCGCTGCGAAAGGGTCACCTCAGTTTTCCAACGCGCAAGCCTATCGGCCTTAAGCTCGGCGTCAAACCTAGAGATGGCGGCAACAGTACAGGCGGCAATCTCAGTGAGTGAGCCATCCCGCCAAGAGCACAACTCCGGGACCACGGTGGCAAGAGCAGAGAGCGAGCGAAGCGCCGTAGCACACAAGCACGCGTCATCGGGATGGCGCTGGAGCTGCAGTAATCGCCTGTGGAGGCGACGAAGCTGACGAAGCCGAACCGGTTCATCACTTCTAGCACCCTTGGCAACAGCGGGAGTCTCAACAGGAACCCAAAGGTCGGAGCGAGGCACCGCAGCAGCAAGGGGCATCTTGGTCATTGCACGCTCGGCGGCGCCGCTAAGCAAAGTCCAGGCGCCGTCAACATCACCAGCCTCAAGCAGCTCTGCAAACTCATGCTGGACAAAACAGGAAACGAATTTAGCCGCAATCTCGTCTTCACTGCAGTCGGCAAGAGGAACACGAGACGGAGAGCGCAGAGAGCGCCACGGCGCGAAATCGAAGCAGTAAGAAACTGCGAAATGATCGGAGACCGACAAATAGTGGCGAAGCTCCGAAGGAAGAAACTTGCCGCAGGAAAGACCAAAGTCAATGCGACGGTTACCAGCTACCCGAGTAGCCGGCAAGGAACACGGCGCCGCGAACGCAAAGTCAAGAGTCACGCAGGCGCCTCGGGCACAGAGGGACTGTAACCCGCTATACTCCAAAGTCAAGTTGAAGTCACCGAGGAGAATCCAAGGCAAACCAACTTCATGCAAGGATCCGATGACCGACTGTACCAAGTCAAAGGCCTGAGCCTCGTCATGCGCATGAGCGTACACAGAGCCCACGACGGTTTTTGAACACGACCCTCATAAATGAATTCACAAAGGCCCGCGACCACTCGATCGTTGGCCTCCTGGCGAGGCAGGGCAAAAGGAGAAATCGGACATCGGGCAGTAAGACCAACCCTAGTCCAACGTTCCCCGGGGCCGAGGACACAGGAATATCCTCTGCGACGCCAATCCTGGACATAGGGAACTCTAGACTCAGGATTCAAACCCAACTCTTGTAAAGCGATAAGCTCAGGAGGGGCATCAAAGGAAGCCAGAGCCTCCGAAGTCTTAGACACCCCACCACGACCCAAGTTCAACGTAGAGAGCCAAGTCATTGCTGCTGCAAGCAGTCCTCAAAAGCCGCGATAGCGGAGCAACAAAGATCATTGAAAGCATCCTTGTCCAAACCATGACCGGCAGGTGGCTTAGCAAGCAAAGCACGGAGCTTCTTGATGCGCCGCCTGAGGATCGCAGGCTTCGTAGGCGAGCAGGTGTGACCCTCAGCACTCTCGCCAGCCCTGAAAGTACGACGACATGAAGGACACTGACCGACACGGTTCATCCCAAGCTTGCGTTTGCCCTTGGAGCGCCGAATGAACGGCCACGTAAAAAGCCTGAAACCAGAAGGAAAGGCCTCCCCTCGCAGGTGCCGCTCAGCAGAAGCGTTCAGCGAACGCGCCCGGGCCCGTGCACCGATGCCAGGAGCCTTAGAAGCACAAAGAGACCACCACTTGGATCGCGTGATATCGGGATGCCGTGCGAGCCGATGTGCAAGCTTGTGTTTACAAACCGTGGTGCGAGAGCCAAGAGTCACCATGCGCGTCCACGTAATGCCGTATCTGCAACCCTGAACCGGACACCGCCAAGCAGCGACCTCACCCGGACGGAGACGGGCAACACCGTAGTTGGCCTTACGCGTCCCTGGGCAACCTGCCTTACCATGCTGAAACTTCCGGTGATTATGCAGATAGACAGCTGCAAGTCCAGCACTGGTAGTCTCTTTGACGTAAGGACAAAGATCGCAGCATGCACGATAAAGCCCGGGACGTACAAAGTACTTACTGGGAAAACGAGGCATAGGACCCTCGCCCGCCTCGGCAGGAAACTCAGCAATCTCATCACCACAGACGGAGCCACCATCGCCGGCAACAGAGGAGTGCCGCACAGCACACGATCCATGTGAAGCATGTCGCGAGAAGCCTTCGCACAGGCGCTTGCGGTCCTTGCCACCAGAAGCACAGCTCGCCTTCGACGAAGAAGCAGCATACCTTGAGAAAGCCAATCCCCGGCCACCCGCACCAGCAGTGGATGCACACGAAGAGCCAGCATCGTAAGCCGCGAAGTTCAGGCCAGAGGTACGGCGACCACCCGCAGCGGAACGGCCACCCGAGCGTGCAGATCCCGACGACGAGCCCGCCTCGTAAGCCGAGAAGTCCAAGCCAGCGCCACGGTGACCATGGAAAGCGGGAACGACAGCTGACAACCAAAGGTTAGCGATGTCCTTGCTCTCCATGCGAACGTACTCGTAGTGAGCGGCGTCATACTTGAGCACGATGTAATGGCCACGGTCCTGGGCATTGGCCGGAAACTTATGCACAGCATCCCGGCACAGGACCAACACGTTGAGTCCGTGCGCCACCGAAGTGGCGAATATCTCGAGGTATCCTCCCCAGCTGCCTTGCATACGGATGGCGTCGCAATATGCAGTGAAGCCAGATGCCTGGAGGTCCTTGGAATCGGGACCGAGGCCGTCCCAATGGGGCTTAAGCGTCTCAGCATTGGCCGCAACCCAGTCGGCAAGAGCTGCTCTGACCTGGCGGTGGCCGATCTTTCGGCCTTCAACCTCGCCGACGGCCTGAGCAACGGCATGAAACAAACAGTCGCCACCACCTTTGTTCGGGATGACTTGTGCCGTCGAAGGAAACGGCACGCTCTTGGGCTTCTTAGTCCCGGTAGCCGCGGATGCTGTGACCTCGTCACCAGGCAATGTGCGCTTGGCACCCACAACGTCGTCCTTAGCTTGCGCCAGGTCCACATCCTCACCATCGTCGGTGTCCAGCTCCATGGGCTTCTCAGTAGACGACCCAAGCTTCCGGGACGACTGCTCGGCTTTCTTAGGCGAAGCTGTAGTTTACGGTCTGGGTGCTGCTTCCCGATTTGCGTGATTGCTCTATCTTCCTCTTACGCCCGTGATTGCCAGTCTTACTACCACCATTTTCGCTACCAGCCACGACCGCCGCTTCTTGCTTTTGTGACGCTCATGTTTCGTCTCCGGTGGCGTAGTCCTTCTTATCCAAGCTGCCATGGAGATCCGCGAACATGCATGACCTAAACCCCCTCAGCTTTAAAGAAACCAGACACTGCAAAACCCTCTAAACCCTAAAACGCTAAGACCCCAGAACCCTAAACCGCCTAAACCGATCAAGCACATGAACCCCTGAATCCGAAGCTCGAAAGCTGAAGCATCCGCTGCACCAAAGGGCAGGGGCCTGGGCTTAGGGCGCCTAAGGGCTGGATGTTTGGGGCTCGAGCCCTGTATACCCTAAACCATAAAGAAAGGGGTTAGGGCCTAGAGTTTGGGCCCTTTAAGGCTTCCCGTGAGAGCTTTCGGGAAAGGATCCGTGTTTCGCCCGGCGCCAACGACCTCCTACTGAAAAGTTGCAATGTTCGCTAAGACTCAGCCCACAAGGATAGTTGGATGCTCCGAGAGAACGGAGATGACACCAAGTCTTTGGACTTGACAAAGGGTTACCCGGGCAAAGAGTGCAGGAGCAAGGGTTGAGGGCATGATGTGTTTGAACGTTGTAGGTCGTCACACTCGCAGTAAAATCATCGTATGGAAGGCCCTTACAATTCTCTGCATTTTATACCAGGTTCCCGGATCTTGTGAAGTAGAGACAGAGAGAAACGCAAGTGAACAGGCACCCTTGTAAGTATGCGGCTGGCGCACAGACGTGCGATGCGACCATCGCTTAGAGCGGCATGTCGGCAGCTACAACTCTCATCTGGCTTTTTTTCCGAAACTTCACACTGCTGACAGTGTGGCAGCGCTATACGGGCCAGGAAATTTGAATGAAGATATGGGGGGCTGGATGAGTTATGCTTCCACAGGGTGCTGGGCCGCCTGGTGCCGTATGTAATGTTACTTTCAGACCAGAAGTTCTCTTTGCTATGTTTCCTGGCCCTTCTAGCTTGCCCTCTCCCCACTGTGCCCCCAAAATGTCCCTGAGGCAGAGAGATCACCATCCTGGGAATAGTGGCACAATTCACGAAGCTATAACCACGAAGCGTGAACTGCATGTTGCGTTGTGTGTTCGGCCCGGGATGCTGCTTTGCCAGAGCTCCCATGCTACCCTGAACCCAGACCAAGCCCGAGAGCTTCCTACCAGCGATGAAGCGGGTCTTTCCTAGGGTTTTCCATACTGAGTTTATATGGGGACCACGGGATGCCTGTATCGAATTCTTCCAAGCCCTTCATTAGGGTTTCAGGTCTCGAGTTGTATAGTCCCTGTTGAAACCTGCTCTAGTCCCATGCAACGGCTCATGGCCGTTCGGACTGATGTCCTCTCTCACTCTCTCTCTCTCTCTCTCTCTCTCTCTCTCTCTCTCTCTCTCTCTCTCTCTCTCTCTCTCCTGGGGTTTAGAGTTTGTTCGACGTGTGGATCTCTGTGCTTGGCCATCAGCCATGGAGTGTCTTGCAGTGTCTTGCGATCACAGCAACAGAGATCCCCTCTCCGAAAGCGAACCAGGAATGGTTTCGAAAGCCTGTTCAAAGTACCAGGGTTCAGATGGGCATGTCCCTGCTTCTTGGGCTGTGCGTTTTTTAAAGATTTGGGGCTTAAGGCTCGGACTTCACTTTTGCGGGGATCGGATCGGCCTCTTTCTGGCCAGCACTTCAGGCTTCCAGTGCTCTCTTTGCGCTGCAGGATCCTACGTTCGACGTGAAACATGAGGCTTAAGACAGCCGTTCAGGGATTGAGGTTGCTAGAGGGCTCAGGCTTTTCGGCATACTACGCCCATGGCCCTTTTCAAAGCGAAATCGACCATGGTGGTGTGCGATATGGTCGTGCTCCTGTATGGTGTAGGATTTCTGGTTCAAGCGTCGTGGTTTGGGGGCTAAGGTTAGGTTAGTCCTTCGTGTGGAAATATGCGTCACTGTGGACTCAGAAAAGGCTCAGAATGGCGGTGGCTGCCCTGCGGTCCCCCTCTTCCTTGGTGGCCCTAGACGCATGACCAAAAGAGTCACAACAAGGGCTCTATAAGGGGCTACCGTATTTTAACTTATATCATTCTTAGTAGTATTAGTATTATTAGTACTATTTTCATTGACATTGTTGTTATGATCATTATTCATATGATTATTATTCGATTGAAAAAATCTGACTAGACTCTGAAGGTTCAGGTGGGGAGGACATTTTCGGATGGCACCGCTCGGCCCCAGCACCCCCCGAGAAGCCCAAAGAAGTACTTTGCACATACTCTAGGGGCCTAAATAATCAGAATAGGGTTTGGGGGCCTAAATAACTAGAATAGGGTTATAGTATAATATCCCAAAACCCTATTCTAATTATGAAGACCCATATATAATTATATGGCACCACACCGAAAATTCTGAGGTTAGCGTGCTGGGGAGCAGCCTCTAAACGCTAAAGCTTTGCCTGTCGGATGATACGAGTACAGGCTTTCTGCAGACTCTACGCGGTGTACGAAGTTTAGAACTTCAGTGGTGTCATTTCCATGATAAGGAAACCGTAGTATTTCCCTACATATCCGTGCTGCGGCAACAAATTATTGTGCAAGCACTTATATGGCTTGAACACACCGTCCTACTGAGTCCTATTTCCTATATGTCCGATGGTAGCTGAAACTAAGCTCCTCAACAACGGCCAAGGTTAAGGATTCAAGCCGAATTCCAAGCCCGCAAAACTTTCAGCCCGTCAAAGTTGCCTGTACTTCATGCCTGTACTTAAAGTCTGGTTTTCTGTATGTCCGAGCATAAGTATGTCGGGGATACATGAATTGGGACTGCTGCAGGCCTCTACCATCGATGCAGAACTTAGTAACTTGACAAGAAACACCCTAGACTCTACATCTAGTCACTAACATAGCTCCTTTGCTTTGTTATCCAGTTCCATGGTTAGGATCCTACCACCTAAAACCTACATCAGGTCAGCAAAAGAAGGAACCACAAAGGACACTAGCGGCACTAGCAACACCGAGCTAGGCACTAGGCGACAACCTGCCCCAAGACCGTATGGTTCCAAGTATTTTATTACAGCCCTACCAAAAGGAAACACTTCACACCCCCACACCACGAGATTGCTCAGGCACCTGCTGCTTTCGGGCTTTCAGGCTTTCGGGCTTTGGGGCTCAGGGCTGGTATAGGTTAAGTTGTGCGTAAGAATCGAATATTAAAACTGCGGTCAGAAGTAGCGACAAGTGTAGTTACCCTACAAGTCCCCCAACCTTGGCAATCCCTGTGAAACAGCAGTGGGAGCTGTAAGAGCTTCAAGACAGATGTGCACGGCTAAGGAGTTAAGGATCCACATGTTTTCTAGTTCCCTGTTGGGGCGCTTGGGTTGAGGATTCACTTTTAAAGGCTGCAGAGCTGCTGTTTTAGGTGGGGATCTGAATTATGAGTAGTGTCCTGATAGAGTAATACTTCAGTATGCTGCCTGAAAACCCTATTTTCATTCTTCATGTCCATTCCGTTTGGATTCAGGGTTATGCGGTGTCGGGCGTTGGGGTTGAGGTGAGGTAGGGCTTCAGGGTGTGGGTAAAGCCCCGGCTTAGAGCTTGAACTCGAACTCCCGAACACCCGCACCCGAAAAATTGCCGGCCAGGTTCCGTGGAGCACAGTCGCAGTTTGCGACTGCTGCACCAGCTGTTCTGGTGCAAGGCCTTGCAGGCAAAGGGCTCCTAAACCCGGAAAGCTTCTCCGAGCAAGGGCGTATACGGCAGTGTAGGGTGCAGGGAATCCTTGCTTCAACCGCTCCTCTAAGGGACTAAGGATCCTTTGAAGGTCCAGGGTTTTAGTTAGGAGTTGAGACCCGAGGGTTCAGGTCCAAAACATGGTTGGGACTTGGGAAATGAGGTACAGAAGGGTTTCGTCGTTCGGGCCAAGCGGCTCAAGCGGTTATGCCGTGACCTCCGAGCCCAAGGCGGCGGTGGCAAATTGAGTGGCTGAGTGACTCTAACTATGGCGAAGCCATTTGTTGATGCTACTTATAGCAGTGGGTTGTTACAGCGGTGGCTGTTTTGTCATATTGACATCGCTTGAATTGAGATACCAAAGAGAATTCCGTGGAGCCCTCAGTCATTTCACGCCTCAGCCACGAAAATGAACGAGCCACTACAGCCAGAACCCCGAAATGTCCTAAATCACTACCCAAAGGGGTAGATGTCACGTGCCTCTAAAGGAGCACTCAGCCTGTGAGAGCTCTGGTTTACGTTTTCAGACTCAACATCTGGAACGGATCTCATGTTGTGAAATCCAAACGACCTGTACTATAAGATCTCATGGTTGGCTTGATATTTCGCCGCCATTTCCCTACAGGGTCTCAATCTCAGTTAAGCCAAAAGACTACCCTCGAAGGAAGCTCGACCTCCAAGCCCCGAAAACCTATGTACCTCTTGGGAAACCTTGAAGGTGACCTGACCGCCTGAGCTCTAAGCCCTGAACTCTTAAGCCCTATGCTCCTCGCTTCGAAGCCCCTATTCCCTTGACATCGTGTCTCTTTTTGCGTGCCTGCACCTGGTCGCACATCTCTGCGTAGCTTCGGACTTGGCTTGCATCACGTTCATGTTGAATGCGCATCTCCTGCAAGGGGCCGTGGCCGCGAGGTCTCTGTGGGTTTGGACTTTGACGGCTGCGGACGTAAAAGAGAATCTGTGAAATTGGGATCCTCATTTTGTAATCACTGCAAGTTGGGATTCAGGAGGATCCGATTTATGAGAGAGTTGTTACGTAAGAAAGTGGCCCCGCGAATCTCTTGTGTCGTTCAAGGCTTGCTGTTGCTGTCGAAGCTGCTGTTTCTACATACGGCCACTTGACTTAAACCCCAAAACAAAAAACACACAATAATACGCCCCTAGAAACGCAAAAAAAACAAAAAGCCCATTCTTCTGAAACCTGAAAGCAGCACTCGCCTAGCCAAGAGGGCCCCCGAGAGCCCCTAACGGCCTTGATGCCGACCAGGAGCTTCAGCTCGGCAGTCTTGGAGATGCACCTAAGCAAGGAAGGAAGGATTTTGGGAATTTAGGGACCCCAAAGTCAAGAAGTCAAGGCTACGACGAGTAGACTTTAAAAGTCGCTAAGGCCGGTTCAGATCTGCCGAAGCCTCTTCTTTGGATGGCTTTTCGGCTCCAGCTGGAGTTTCTGGTCTTTCGGGATTGCATCGGTCTAGACGTCTAGGTGATGGGACCTCGGCGCTGTAGAAACCTCCTCCAAGGAGAGCTCCTTGGGCTGAAAGTGAGGTCCAGGTGCCACTTTTTGGTCCACTTGTAACAGTCTAAGTAAACAGTGACAGTGAGGTCCCTGGAACAGGTTGCAGACGACCGAGGGTTCAGCGCAGGCTCGGCAGAAGGGCGGAGGAACTTCAATGTTTCTGCTCCGACCTGGCTCCACATTCAACTGCAACCAATGGATGCGCGGGGTAGAATTTCCTGACGGTCCCCACCCTGAAAGCTGCAATGGGCACGGGCCGGCACAGGGTGGCAGGCCTTTCTGGCTTGCGCTCCCTCAATGGGAACGACACAAGGAATCCTAGCATTCTTACCCTAACCCCACCCCCTAACTGAAACCTTTCACACCTAAACCCTAAACCTTGGATTTCGCTTTCAATTCCTGTACGAAACGAGGCGCAGGAGGCTGTGCAGATCCCGCATGCCGCCTTTCTCTTCAACAAACCTGAGTTATAGGGTTGGCCGGAGGATTTCGGGGGTTTAGGGTTTTTGCGCGACTTCAAGGGTTGAGGCTCGCCGCAATTTGCTTCGAGGCGTGTTCTGGAGCTTCGTGTCATGAAGGAACTGCTCCAGCACCCTTCCAGACTTAACCTCAAATCTGAAACCCTGAACCCTAAACCCGCATTTTTTCGAGACTCCGAGACATTTCGGGACCGACATGCCCTGCAGAGGACACCCCCACGGGTCGAAGATTTGGCCTCAAAAAGCCTGGGAATTCGAGAAGCTCAGGGATACCTGTTAATTTGGGGCTTCTTCTTTTTTGGGGGTTCTGCAAGGGGGGAAAGAAAACCAGGTGTTGGAGAGGTCTAACAGAAATTAGATTCGAATTTTGAAGTCGTGGAACTGTTCGCAGAACTGACTGTTTATGGGTGAAAAGGGGACACCAGTACCCATCCAGACATCTATGCCAAACCGGAAATAGGGACAGTTTAGGGCGCAGAGTTCAAGGTTCTCAAAAGCGGCAGAAAGCCGTAAACCCGAAAACCTAAACAAGCCTTAGCCTCTAAACCCTGCGCCCAACACGCAGGAAGCTGCGAACTGAAGCGGAGGCGCAGCAGCTCTGCTAGGAGACCCCCGAAGGTGGGCAATGCCTGCTTGCTATGATATGCCGTGAGTCTTTGTGCTTGAGCTGCTTTTACCGATATTCCCACTTGAGCTCCGGTCTTCTTGGGGGGCGTCGCTTCAGAATAAGGTTTGAGGAGTGCGTAGGTAAATCCTGGTGGCGTTCTTGAACCCTTAACCCTAAGCGGATACTCTAGGAATGGAGGCACCTCGCACCCGTCTTAGTCGACGGAAGATGGATACCCGAAATCCTTGAACGCCAGACCCTGCACCCTGAACCCAACCACCCTCTAGAGACGAATGACAGCCTGCTCCCCAGCAACCAATTAAACCCTCAACCCTAAACTCTAAAACCGACCTCGCAAGACTTGACCGAAGTCCGATCCGATCCCGAAAAAACACCCTCCTCCCTAAACTTTTTTTAAACCCTAAATCCTAAACCCTTAACCCCAAAAAATCCAACAAAATCTCCATGTCGGGGCCTCCTGGGCACGGAAGAGCGCGGAAGAGCGCGGAAGCCCAGGCCTCTCTCGAGACTTCTCCGGGCTCAACTTCTCGAGGCACCGCTTCCTTCGCTTTCAGGGCTCCCTTTAATGGATCTGTTTTAAGTTACCATAAGGAAACCATGTTATCTAATCTAGATTCCGTTAAGGGATTCATTCTAGGTTACCATAATGAAGAAACCATATTAGTTAACATGGATAACTATTATGGCAACTTAAATTACATCCCCTAACAAGAGCCCAGTTAAGGGTTCCTTCTTCAGGGTTTTGAAGTTCTTTATGGCTCTTTACAGGGGCTTCGGGTCCGAGGGCTCTACTCGTGAGGTAGTTGAAGATTCGAACATGGTCTTGGGTGCTGCTTAGTGTAATTATAAACGGCCTGTAAGGAGATATTTTTGTCAGTTACTCAGACCGGGGTCTAGCCTGGGGTTCGCGAAGAGGTTCGCCCAACACTCTGTGGAGCAGGAGCTTCTGTTATGGGATATCAAAAGGCGCGATGAGGCAGCCGCATTGGAGCACGTGAATACAGGCCTCTGATTCAGCACTGATTGAAATACCCCACCTATCCTAAACCCTAAGCCCCAAACTCCAAACTCCAAAGCATCATCGCACTCGTGGAGCCTTTTGATGGTCGTCATTATTATGTATGTTGGAAGCTTGCGTGTTCTGAGGTCAGGCCTCGTGTCTGAGTAACAGCTTTAGCTCAGTTGGGTTTAGGGTTTAGGGTGGGGTTTGGAGGGTTTTAGGGTTCAATCGCCTGGCCTCCCCCTAGTATACTTACTGGTTACGAGTCTGAAGCAAGCTTCATCCACAAGAGTGGAAATAGAAACCCAGCATTCTAACTTCCAAGCTCCTGCGAATACCCTAGACCGTGAACTTCAAAACCTCCACACCCGAAAGCCGTCCCTTGTAGAACCCGAAAAAACCTGATCAGATTTATGCCAACATGGTAGTAACAGCAACAACGATTGCGAATTGCAATTAGAAGAACAAGCAGTTGTCACAATAACAAGAATGAGAACTATCATCATCATCATCATCCTCATCACCATCATAATCATCCTAACGGTTATTAGAGATGAAGCTTTGGAGTCCTGCGACAAGATTCAGCACTGAGGGTTCGGGGCTCAAGGTGTAGGGCGTGGGGCTTACTGCTTCAGATGCTTGAGGGTTTAAGATGTAGACTTTAAGGTGTAAAGTGTATTGCTGCAAGGTTTGAGGATTAGGGTTGGGGCGATTAGGGTTCAATGGGCCCCAATCCCGAAACCCTGAACCCCATGCCTGAAACCTTAAAACCATCAACCCACGCCCGGAGAAGCTGTAAACATCACCATTATTTTTTGACTCCAAGAGCAGCCGGCCCGGATAAGACCTAGGAATGTGTGTGTGCGTGTGTGTATGTATATATATATATATATATATATATATATATATACACATGTATCTATATATATATATATATATATATAGTTTTAAAGCACACGCACACATACTTTCATTATAAGGGGATAAGCCGTGTAAAGTCTAAACCCAAAGTCCTGGTAATTACAAGTCGGGTTATAAGTCCCCTAATATGGCTTGTAAGTATAATTACCTACTTGTAGCCCTACTTATAACTACCCATGAACCTCCAAGTATAGCCCATCCCCATTCCCGCATTCCCTACTCAGAACCAGGGAGTAAAGGTTTCATAAGGTTTAAGGGATCAAGACTCAGGCCTCTGGTCTCCACTGCTTTAACATTGTCCACCTTCAAGGCCCCCAAAGCTCTAGTAGACGAAATCCCGCATCACCGTGAACTCCTCCAAAAATGGGCATAATGGTATTTCGTAGCATGCAGGAGTTGTCCATGACCCGAGCCGAAGGGGCTTTCATGAGGCGGGGGGGGTTGGGGGGGGGGGGGGGGCCGATTCGCGGGTCTGTCATACCAAGGGTCCTGTTACTACTATAACCTTAGGGTCGAGATTGGACAGTATGTTACGAAAGCTCAGCCGAAGCAAGTCCGAGGCACTTTTGAGGCGTCTCGATTTCATAGTCCTGTCGAAACGAAGACCCTTTCGCGAGTCTAGGATTTCGGGTGTCAAGGTCCTCATTGTGGCTTTCCGCAGCACACGAGCGCAAGGAGAACATCTGCTCTAGACATCTATCCATCCAGCAAAAGAGGTTAACATGTTGACTCATCCAGCACGAATCCTCGGCGAAGAAAGCTGAACTCTGTTAACATGCAAGGTCTGGGGCGGGTTTCAAAGTTTGCTTGCCTCCATGAGTCCGCAGCCCATATCCGTTTCCTACTGCACATGCCGACCCGAAAATCCCTACCTCCTCAATCCCTGAAGACCCACGAAACCTCAGACATGCACCAGGAACCCTAAACTTTCCGAACCTTAAACCGGAAACAGGGCACCTTGAACCCTCAATGCTAAAGCCATATAGAAACCTTGCTGAAGCCCGTGTAGAACCCTCACAAACCCAGACACATGCCCGAAAAGGAGCCTGCTCCATCTTCGGCTGCCTGCTGCAGGGGACTTGAAAGGCTTACCGGGCTTAGGGGTTGAAGTTCAAGCTTTTCAGGCCTTGAAACGGCTGGAGAAGGATCCTGTAAGGGTTGTATCTGAAGGCTTCTATGAAGATCTATGAAGGTGCTACAGAGAGCTCTATCATAAGAGTTCTAAGCTGAGGCCGGGTCTTCCATAACCAGAGTGCCACCTTTCCACCCTGAAAACAGAAACTTGAACCCTATACTCACCCGAAACCTCCAAGCCTACGCACTTAAACCACTGCCCTGCACCCCAAACAACAGGAGCTAGACACCCAACTAAACCTGCTGACCCTCAGAGCCATATACAACCTACGACCTAAATCCCGAAACTTGGCAACCCTTACGCTCTCATCGAAATCCTGGATTCCTGAAGACCTGAGACCCTGAACTTTAACCCCAACACGAAGCCTCAAACGCCTCCCTGCAAACACATATAGCGCCGGGCTAAGAACCTTAGTTCTGTATCTATACGTGAACTTAACAGCAGCTACGGTATCTACAACCTTCAGTATCTAACTCCCCCGATTCTTTAGGCGGCGAAGCTCGTCCCAAGTTGGGGCCTTGCTCTGCGTGAGCATCAATCTTACCCCGACCCCACTCGAGCCAGGAAGATGCCGCCCGCGTAGTTTAGGGCTTATGGGGTTAGGGGAGAATCAGGGGTTTAGGAGCTTGGGGAAGATTTGAGGTGTAGGTCACTTCAACTTTAGGAACCAGGGCTGTAGGGAGCCTGACAACATCAAGGTGAAAACAGTATCTGGCAAAGTGCAGCCATACGGATACATACATACATACATACCTACATACATACATACATACGTACATACATACATACATGCATGCATATCCATCCGCAACAAGACTGAGGGGATGTACATGCTTGGCCGGTAGGGACTACAGAGAAAGATCAAACACAGTAACCGCTTGCGGGAGCGACCTCTGTGCTTTCGATTCGTATTGCAGAACCTTCTTTGTATGGTATTTTGCATAGCTTCTGGCCAGAAACATACACAAATGGTCAAACATGTATGTATATTACATACAATATGTAAGTTACATAATTAATAAGTGCATACCTCAGAGGAACCTTTTCCTGCTCTGCAGTTCCAGCAGAAAGGATCCGGTGTCGCTCATCATGCCCCACCATGCAAGAATGCCCCGCAGCGCCGCTGGACAGAAGATGATGCATGGCAAAGTTCGCAGAGAGATTCGGCGCGATGCCTTGCCAAGGCCGGGGCCGAGATGGTTAACGAGCCGAGCTCCGAGTTTCCTCGGCATCTGTGCCGGGCCTCAGCTGTTGTGTTGCTGTCTGTACCTGGCAGGACGGAGGCGCTGCTGGCACGATGCCCGAACATCATGACTGCACGTCCAAGTACCGCTGTCATGATTCTGCCCATCCCTCTGGCCAACCCTTGGCCGTCTGCGGCGACGCTTTCTGCGAGTCACTGCTTGCCGCACTCATATCCTAGCGCTTGATGATACTGGCTGCATGATGCTGTTGCCAAGAACCCGCCTGCTGGGGCCGAGTGAGCTGGGACCCAGGGAGGCCAGTGGGATTCAGCTTCCCGGGACGGATCGGGTTGAAAGTGTCAAGCTTGGTGATGGCACTGCTGGTCTTAGCTACGTAATGCTAAATGTGCGGCTTTGAAGAGCATCGTACAAGTCTCAAGGACGTCTCAGGCAGACAGCCATAAGCACTTGTGGCACTTGGGCACCGAAATCTGGCAACCGGGTTTGCATCCTTCCGGTAAGACCGTGGATCGAATACTCTGAACTCGTGTTAGAAAGTGAGGAGTGGGAAAAGAATCTCGCGCATGGGGATGTAGCTTGAAGCGGCGATGCGTTCGGTGAACTAGTCGTGCTCTTGCGTCACTTGAAGTAGCCATCCACCCAACATCCAGTGTTCGCACTGCGGGTCCCCGTGACTTCAAGTGCCGAAGCCATGCATGACAGTCACACATCGACACTTTTGCTGCCTCAATATGGCTATCCGCCTGCTGGGCAGCAAGGCAGACTAACGTTAGCCAAAAGACAACACTTTCCGACCCTTTTGCGTCCACTGACCCTGCAACTTCCCATCCCAGCCGATTTTTTCAAATCATTGGGACTGTGAGACGAGAGAAGCCTGACAGGGGTCGTTGAGGAGGATTGGGACGACCCCGCAAAAACTTCGTTAAAGCTGGACAGATGGAAGGCTCGCGCGAGAACGCTGTTTGGGCATGCGAAGATCTTGCAAGAGACCCCACGACGATGACCCCGCTGGTCCCAAGGAAACCTGCCAGGTTGTCTGCCAGCTGTCTTTGCGCCGGAGATCGGGCTGAGCCGTGGGCCATCGAAATGGGAAGTCAAAGCGTTTGAGCGGTGTCAGGAAAAGGACCGAGCCGGATGCATGTACAGGCAATCCATGGCAACGACAGCTTGGTCCGGCGAGTCAAGAAATCCATGCTCGATGCCGATTTCGAAGCAGTCCCTCATCTCCTGCCGGTAAACGGCGGCCTTGGACTCCCGGCGCAGCATTGGATGAATGGTGCTAGCCCCACCCATGAAGCGCGACATGCTATCGCTTCGACCAGGAATGGTGGCAGCGCTGCCCAAGGTCCCGGAGCTGCATGGGATGCCTGTTTGTGGTGGCCACGCGACCCTGCAGCAGAAAGGGATCGTACATGAGAAAACATTGCAAGAATGATGCTAGTTTAGCAACCACGAACATGGACAACTCATAGTCTTCCTTCGCAGCTCCTGCTGGAACACCTTGCGTGATCTGTCCTCCTTCCATGTGTGATATCCTGCATGTATCGCCAACTCGCTCCAGCATCCGCAACTGACTTCCACCTACTGCGGCGTATGTGCCCTGTGCCGGGATTGTTCAGGAAAACGACATGCTATCGCTTCGATCAGATACGGTGATAGTGCTGCCCTAGTGCGGAACGGGTCCCGGAGCCACATGGATGCCCAGTTGAGTGGTGGCTAGCAAGCCTGGCTGCCAAAAGGGATCGCAGATGAGGAAGTATGGCAAGATGAATGCTAGCATAGCAGCCACGAACATGGACAACTCGTAGTCTTCCTTCGGAGCTCCTTCTGGAACACCGTGGACCATGCACGATCTGATGATCATTCTTCTCTGTGACGCTAACTCACTCCGGCAGCCACAACTGACTTTCACGTGACACGTCACGAGCGCAGCAGCCAAGGGCGGCGTTGGCTTCACGTGCCCTGTGCCGGGATTGTTCGCCAAAACGACATGCTATGGATGCCTGTTTGTGGTGGCCACGCGACCCTGCAGCAGAAAGGGATCGTACATGAGAAAACATTGCAAGAATGATGCTAGTTTAGCAACCACGAACATGGACAACTCATAGTCTTCCTTCGCAGCTCCTGCTGGAACACCTTGCGTGATCTGTCCTCCTTCCATGTGTGATATCCTGCATGTATCGCCAACTCGCTCCAGCATCGGCAACTGACTTCCACCTACTGCGGCTTGAGCAAAGGCGGCGTATGTGCCCTGTGCCGGGATTGTCCAGGAAAACGACATGCTATCGCTTCGATCAAGAACGGTGATAGTGCTGCCCTAGTCCGGAACGGGTCCCGGAGCCGCATGGGATGCCCAGTTGAGTGGTGGCAGATGAGGAAGTATGGCAAGATTGATGCTAGAATAGCAGCCACGAACATGGAGAACTCGTAGTCTTCCTTCGGAGCGCCTTCTGGAAGACAGTGCAAGATCTGCTTCTCTGTGTGATATCCTGCATGTATCGCCAACTCACTCCAGCAGCCGCAACGACTTCCACCTCCCACAACTTGAGCTCAACAACCACCAGCGGCGTATGTGCCCTGTGACGGGATGGTTCAGGAAAACGACATGCCATCGCTTCGTTCAAGAGTGGTGATAGTGTCGCCCTAGTTCGGAACGGGTCCCGGAGCCACATGGGATGCTTGGTTGAGGGGCGGCTAGGAGGCCTGGCTGCCAAAAGGGATCGCAGATGAGGAAGCATGGCAAGATTGATGCTAGTATAACAACCACGCACATGGACAACTCGTAGTCTTCCTTCGGAGCGCCCTCTGGAACAACGTGCACGATCTGCTGCTCTTTCGCTGTGAGATATCCTGCATGTGTCGCCGCCAACTCACTCCGGCAGCCGCAACTGACTTCCAGCTCCCCCAACATGAGCTCAGCAGCCAAGGGCGGCGCTGGCTTCATGTGCCCTGTGCCGGGATTGTTCAGGAAAACGACAGATTATCGTTTTCTTCGCCATGGTGTCTGCTGAGAGGCGGGCTGTCTTCACGAACTTGCTTCTGCCAAAAATCTTTGTCAAAGCGGCGTGTCGGAGCTGGTGTTTCGATGAGTGCCTGCATGTGCCCACGAAGTAGAGCCTGATGCTACTGGCACTTGCAACACATTGTTACACGCCGATTTCAGCTCCCAGGCACGGATCGGCTTGGCACTGCTGGCGTTAGCTACATAAGGCTCGAAACTGCGCAATTGCACTTGCCGCTTTGAATGTCAAAGCGCATCTTATGATACGCGGCGACGTGACGAGACAGATGCCTGGCCTTGAGAATGAATTCTCTGCCTCTGAAAATGTCTCTAGCACGCATGCCAGATACCGAGTGCTTGCCCGACCTTGGGAAATTCAAAGTGCGGTGTGACGAACATGTCACAAGGTTCTTTGGGTTCCAGGATCTTTCAGGCTCGGGCCAGAAATGGTGCGGCCTTGCTTCGGGAGTGCATGTAACCTATAGTCCACGCTTGAACGTGCTCGTAGCCTGAATCTGTGCCGCTTCTGGCAGGCATAACCTAGCATACGAGATCGGTGACGTGTAAGCAGTCCGGAAACACGGGGAGCAGCACAGCTGGCCACGAACTTGCTCAAAGCATGGCAAGGCCCAAACCGATGAACGATGAGCGAATCACGAGCCGAGGGTGCTCATGCTCGAGCCGCGCAGAGCTAGCAGGCTCGGTACTTGGCGAAGGGCTTGGCCAAGCTCAGTGGAACCATGGCTTTGACGCAGAGACATGTCTTCTCGACGTGCTCCCGACATACCTCGCGGAGCGACTGCGACAGCAAGTGTGACGATTTAGGGTCGGGCACACGAGCGCCCCCAGGAGGAGAAGGAGTCGTGTGCGTGCCACCTCGCTATGAGCGTGCAAGGCAGGATGGCAGCTGTGCCCTGCATCCGTAGGAGCAGACCGGACAAGATGCAAGCACGTTTGGGGTTGGCTGTCCCTGCACAGCTCCGGCACAGCTTCGCGAATTCTCTGCCACCCCTCCCTACCAGCTTCTATAGGCTCGCGCATGCCCAACCAATACAGGCTGATCATCACTTTGCAGCCAAACACTGGCAAAAGCCGCTTCTGCACACCTCGTGCCACAACCACAAGCACGCATGCCTTGAAAGGCAGACCCTGACACGAAACAAGGCCTCCGGGTGCGAACGAAATGCAGAGCAGCACGAAGCAGCACGGCAGAAGACATGCCTCGTGATGTGATGTCAGCAGCCCCAGGTCTCACGGAATGGCACTGCCATGCACTGCCACCTCTCAAAGTCTCACTCCACTTTGAAAAGGACAATCAGATACACCGGGACCGCATCAGGGTTGCTACGACAGCTATGGATGCTTCTGCGTGGGAGCCATGAAGGCCAAAGCCGTGACTTCGGGTCGCCATCAATGAGCTACGAACCGGGCTTCTGATAAGCTTTGCAGATCTGAGGCCTATCTGATAGGACAGGTCTTGCGGGGGTAACTGCGGCATTCGTTGAGGACAAGGGAGCGGCAAGAATGCACCTGGCATGTGCTCTTGTGGCTAGGGCCCTCGTTGACGCCCGCCGCAGCACATCATAGCCACGGCCCCAGCGAGTCTTGATATATGCCCAACGAAAACCTCAGAAAATGCAGTTCTTCACGCTAGGTGTTTCGATTATACCAAGCCGTACCAAAAGACATGGGGGGCTACGACATCTGGAGACACAACACAGCGCCGGTTTGGTCGGGGGTGTCAGCCCGGGACTCGGCAGCCTTGTAACCTCTGACAGACCGAGCTATGTCTGTGCTTTAGGCGCCAACTCTGGGACGGCCAGGCACTTGAGGAAACAATCAACATCGGTCTTGACCGCCAGGCAGGACGGAATCATTCGTAACAGACACAGGCAATGCCTCACACAGTCGAGGACTCACTGAGTTTCTGCCAGGCAGGGCAGCCCGCACACCCCATAGAGCATTGCCGCCGGTTTCTCGCAGCACTCCCCTTGCATCTGGTATCCACGCTCGCGAGCAAAACACACTAGTGGTGGAACTCCCAAATGAATCATATGGTCAGGTTTCCATACTGGCCTGCAGTCTTGCAGATGACTCTAGCCTGACAGACGGGCCTGCACCGTCTGCACGGCTGGCAGCTTGTGATCTATGAGAAGCTTCGCGTTGCGCCAAGCTCCAGAAGGAGAGCCGGCGTGGGCACCGCCCACGGCAACTAAGTGTCAGGCGAAGGATCTGCGACTTGACAAAAGATCGACGATGCTTGAACTCATTGAAATCCATGTCCGGACGGGCGAGGAGAGAACGCACTTTCCGCAACTCAGCGTCGGTACGTTGACAGAGACTGCTCTGGCAATGCGACCCGAAGGCCGAGGACCCGGAGGCTGTTGGCACCGCCAGCCGCCGCGAGCTGTGGCATGAACCTTGACGACTTCCTCACAGTACTAGCAGAGCACATCACGTCTGCAAAGGGAAAACGGTCATAGGCTCAAATTAACGGTGCGCATGATCAACCGTGTTCTGTCGAAGCAGGAGGAGCAGCTGTTCACAGGCGCAATGAACTCCAAGTTCAAAGCACGATGCATGACTCACATGACACAGTGTATTGCTGTGCTCAGTATTTCTTTGCAAGAGTTCTTGCGTCGGTGGTCCTTCCGGGCAAACTTAGCAGAGATGGAATACGACCAGCAGGCCGCGCTCGAGCCCCAATCATGCACCTGCTTCCTCCACGCCAACAGCGACGCTGCAATGTGGAGGAAAGCATGCCTAGACAGGCCAAACCGCAACGGCTCAGTGGACTTCACTGAAGGCTCTTTTTTTCGCGAGGGTGATGGCCACTGGACCGTACATGGCTGAGCGAAGACAGGCCGAAAATATTGAGGGAGTCCCTCTGCAAACATGAATCAGCACAAGGTGTGCATCACCCCCATGCTTACTTTCACCCATGTTTTTGCAATTTGTTGATTAGTACACCTTTGCTCCTTGCCCTCTGCATCTCTGTGCTTTAATTACTTCATTCACAGCACAAGCACACCCTTTCGCAAAAGCATGGAATGAGATGACATGGTGTGAACCAATCCGTGTTTCCTCAAAGTGTGTGTGGTTGGACAGGGCGATCTGACGGGGGGTGCGTGGCTTTCGACGATGCCTCTCCGCGGAAGGCCAACATCAAGGACCTGGCTATGAGAGCCTCTTGTGCTCCGGCGAAGACCGACAGCAAGCCAGGCTCCTGCGACGCGGAAATCGCTTCATTTTATCCACTCAGACGGAGAGTATGCAGTTCAAGCAAGGTGGGTGGGTCTGGAGTACTCGTTCGAAGGACACTGTGAGAAACAACACCGGAGTAATTCAGACCTTCGTGCTTGACGGCACGCCGTTTCCCCCAGCGCCTCCGACGCTCAGCACCTTGCCGCCTCGCTCACAATTCCAGCCGCCTAGCCTAAGCTGTCGGGCGGCGCGGCTTTCCGCTCTTTGCCACCTCCAGCACGGTGCCTGGACTGGCAAGCCCGGTCTGAGATCCTTCAGTCGAACTGTCAGCTGAAGCAAGATGCCAACCGACAGCCAGCCTGCCGGTAGACCGACCCAGCGTTTTGCTACGCAATGCCTGCTAAGTTTTAGTTGCAGGTTAGAGCCAACGTCTCTTTGACGTGCTAAGACGGGTATGGACAGAGGAGCCTTAAGTCACGGTGTGAAAGATGACAAATGACGGAGTTGGTCGTTGTTGGTCGTTGGTCAGGGAGGCTCCACTGCTCCTCCAGGCTCCTGCCTCGATATCCGAAGCAACACGCTAGCACTGCTCGCGACAGCGCTAGCGTTGCTACCAGTAGGAGCGCATTTGCATGATACGGTCGGAGATGCCATGGCTGCCTTTGACAAGGAGCGCTAAGAACGGGTCTCAAGCCCGCAGCGGTCTAGGAAGGCACTGGCAACACAAGCGCGGGGTGGGCCACGGCTCAGGCTGATTGCACCATGCCGAGCGTAGGCTGCACTCAAGGGTGTGAGGCTGACGGAGTCTGCGATGCACGGGTCCCGGCATGATCGCCGAATCATCGCCACAGCACCAAGCGATGGGCAACGTCATGCACGGCGACTCCGACCAGAAACTCACCATCGAACTCATGGAGCCTGCACCAATCATTCCAAACCTTGCGGCTTCACTTTCCAAGGTCAAGCACGCATCTTGATGCAGCTGCTTAAAGTCAGGCGGCGGACACGTCGCTGATTTGGGGTTAGATGCTCGCGCCCGGGACAGTATCAACCCCAGCTGGGAGGAAAAGCGTTGGTGCACAAGCATCCGGGCAGAATGCAACAGGCAGCAACTGGCGTGCAGGGCACGTGGCACTGCAGCGCCCAAGTGTGGGAGGGGCCGTTTGAGTTTGCTCGGCGGCTCGGAACAATTGCGGTCTCAAGTTTGGAATGGGCCGAAGCCGGAAGCTAAGCCGAGAAGTGCTCGGTTGCACCTGAAGTGCCTTCGCTGCACGGCTGGGCATGATGGACGAGTCATCTGAGTTGACAAAGCACTGTAAGAAGCGCTACAAGTCTGGCCGCAAATTTCACATCGAACGGACTGCAGGTTTTGCCTATCCAGCTGCCTTCTTCCTGGACACTCTGCGATTCGCGCTGGCAACTGCGATCCTGCGGGCCGTACGAAGGGGGCCCACGAGAGGCTGCGGGCTGAAAGAGAGTCTTGGAGTCAGTCGGAACTCTGTGCAGGACCAGGAGTCATCTTCTCCAGTCAACCTCAAGAAAGAGCCTTGCACGTTGAGTGCCTATAGTTGCCTAGTGCTTACGGACCAACGGTGAGCAGCATTCCAGCGATGTCTCCACATGACATCACACTGCTATCACGCAATCGCAGGGGCAAAGCACATCTCGCCCTCACGGCTCTCTTGGTGAAAGTGCCCTGGGCCTTGGCGGCCTTGGCGGCCGTGTGACCTCCTGCCAGAAGCGGTCATGTCCCGTAGCGGCTCGCCGAGCCGCACAAGCGCGCGCAGCTGGAACTACCAATAAAGCGAGATACACGACCCGTGTAAAAGTCTGAGCCGACGCGGTGCGAGTGCGAGCATGGATGTTGCAAGACCGATCGATGGCCGAGTCCCCTCCATCTCCGGAAGATTCCGAGAAGAGCCACGGCCAGCTTGGCAAGGAACTGGGACTCGGCGATGCGAATGGAAGACGCGAGTCTCAGCCCGGAAGTGCTGAGCCGTCAGGGCCAAATCTCAACTGCAGGCTGCCCGAAACTCTTCTTCCGATGAGCCTCTCACATTGGGACCCACCCTTTAATTCGCGCTCTTGTGCTTTGGTTCGCGCGACAGTTCTGGGAAAGTCTTACAAGCATCTTAGCATCTACATGCGTTATATAAATATACCCTGCGCGCATATTATTGCACTTGCGTGCTCTTCCTCGGCCTTGCGCGTTCTTGCTCGCAGACATAAATCGCGCCTGTAGCAGCTGTCATGAGCAGGGGGTGTAGAGCCTAGCGGAACCCGCAAACGTTGCTGGCCATCTGGCTGCAGAACGTCAGGCAGGGCTGGCAGAAGGACTGATGGCGCGCGAGTGTCTAAGCCGCAGAAAAATGTGCCGAGGAATTTCCAGGCGTAGCACGAGCGTGGACTGACGCCGCGCAGCTGCAAGGTTGCACAAAACAGGTGTGACTTTCTGCCAACAGTCAGGTCCCACAGCTGGGCGTGTGTCGCTCCGTACGGACACGAAGGCCGGCGTGAGGGGCTCAAGCTGCACTGGTCGCGTAGAGGTCTGAACTCAGCGACAACGATGCATTCAACAGGCGAGGCCTGCGCTGCGGTGCAGACGAAGGTTGCGGCAGACCGATCCCCAATGGCTGAGTCCTCTCCGCAGTTTTCTAGCAAGTCATCGATCCACAGCAACTGGCACCGAGAAGGTGCCGTGGTGGCTGATGCGAGGCGCATGGCAGCAACGGAGCAGAGTGGGAAGCTTGTGATTCGCGATCGAGCAGCAAGAGGCAGTAGCAGGACAGCACCAGTCTCCATCCTCGCCAGCTGGGCAGTAGCTGTACAAGCTAGACACGGCGTGTCGGCAGAGTCGCTAGGTTTGGCAAACCACCCGAAGCTTGGCGGTTGAAGGTGCACCGTGTGGTCGTGGATGGTGATTTCACGAACCGGCAACTCAGAGGCGCGAGGCACGAATGCCAAGAAGAGGCTTCCTCCAAAGGGCTTCAAGCCGATGGAGCGCCAGGGGCAAGGCCTGCACGATGGAGTCCCCACCAGTGGAGGAGGGATGCAAGATTTCCGAAATTTGGGGAAGCCTTGAATCGGGCGCAGTCCAGCACGAACACAAAAATCGTTGCTTCGGTCATCGGTGCAAGGCAGAGGCAGAGCAAAGCTCCCATCGTCGCGGCCACAGTCCCTCTGCGCTCTTGCTCGGCTCTCGGCAGCCACCTGGCGGGTGCAGTGGATGCACTGCTCAGATCAGGGCATACAGGACATCTTGGTGGCCGTCAGCAAGACATCCGCTGCTGGAATGCGGTTGGCTTCTGTGCATCTGGATCTATGAAAGCATTCGGCCCAAGACGCCCGGGCAGCCCCGTGTCAGCCAGACCCACACCTCGACACGACAAACCCGCCAAGTCTAACGTACACTTCGTGTATGGCTAGACAATGCCGACGCAGCCCCTGCAACGTCCACAGCTCATGCTTCGATGAGTCATCGCTGCGTGCGGTTGACAGGAGCGCAGGAGGCCTGGTGCGCTTGGATATAATGCAGCTGCCGGCCAAGGGCCAGCTGACAAGCACGGAGCTACATCTGCTCTGTACTACGTGCCAGCTTGAGGAAAGCAGCTGTCCGCATAACTGGGCTCACGAGGCAGAGAAGGTCCAACATCTGGCACGCATTCCTGCCAAAGGCCGACAGAGCAAGTTGCTCACCAAACTGACATCAGCTCAAATTCTTCGGCAGGTCCGAGATCCAGTTCGGAAGCAGGACGGGGATGCGAGTAGCACGCAGGCCCCACGGTAACGAGTGTCCCTCACAGCCCTTACTGTCTTCCAGCATTCAGGGAAGCTCGCGCAAGCAAGAAGCAAGCTTTTCGACATGTCAACTCGAAGACAACTCACAAAGAACTCCCGCAATCAGGACTCTCAAGAATGCCTCGTCTTGAGTTGGCGAGCCAGAGCCACGGGCTCTAGCTTTGCAGCCGCTTGTCCAAAACATACGAGGGAGGCTTTGGTGGGTACCTTTTGTCTTCTGCTAGCAGTGGCGGCCATGCTCCAACGGACTGTCTGCAGCCAGCCTTGGCCCCGCAAGTCTCCTACAGCTGGGGAGCCTACAACAGCATCTCGCAGTTTAGCAAGTCGCCCCACGGTAACGAGCTGCGGATTCGGGCCTCGCTGCTCGGCCCAATCGAAAGCTGAGACATGCCGAGGCGGTGGGCAAACTGGACTGTCGTCCTTGCGGCAGACCTACACAACCAGAGTTGTGGGATCCCTGCTCGAGGGCAAATTGTCACGGACGTCGTTTCTTGCAGACACACAAGCACCATCTGAATCATCTAGTAATCTACCGAAGGGAGCTGGCCATTTCCGACAGGAAGGTCAGTTGCGAAGGCTCAGCGCGAATCCGGACCTGTGCGGGCGAACAAAGTAGCCGTATCCCGCTGAAGACAGCCTTTTCAATGTTGCGCGATGCACAACTGATGGGAACCAGAACTGGAAAGTGCAGGGCTCCACGGTGCCCAGGGAGTGTGGTAGAGGGATCTCCACGCCTACAAGGCTCGAGTCCGCGGGCAGTGGAAGGCCGTCAGTTTGCCCACCGCAAAGGCAGAGGAGAGCTGCGCTTCGGTCGCGGTTGCCCGGATCGCAGGCTTTGATTAGCTCAGCCCTAGCTGCCTAGCTCCTCGGATGAGAGAGGGCGGGTGCTCGCACTTCTGCCATCTTCTGCGCCTCAGCTTCGGAAGCAGAGCGAGGAGTAAGGGGCTTTTTGAGGACACTATTCGAGGAGATGCTTGTGAGTCGCGCCGAAAGTCAGCTTCCGGCAGTCATCGGCTAAAGAGCTGGGCTTTTGCTGGGCTTCGTGTCAGGCTCTGAATCGGCTCCTGGCCTGCCGTTTGAGTCTGTTTGCTAAACCCAAAGCTTTAACTTTTGCCTTTATAAGATTTATAAAATCTCCCTTCTTCTCGTTAGGGGCTTCAGATTGAGGCCCCCATGGCCCCTTCTGAGAAGGCCCCTCTCAGCGGCCGCGGCCCGGGCCGTGGCCCCCCCCTTGTGGCGACGCGGCCATGGGGCCGTGGCAGCTGGTGCAAATTAGTGAAACTTGGGGAACATATTGAAAACCGCATGCTGGACAGGTCCTGGAACACGCTGGGCCATTGCTGCAAGTCTTGCCACGCAAACCAACACGGCCAGCAAGGCCAGCGCCGGCGCCGCAGACAGAAACACCTCTAATCTTGCTGAAGCTGTGGGCCGAACGTCGATCACTGTCCCCTTCAGGCAAGACTCGGCTCGAACACCAAGCCTCTCAGATCCCAGGCGTCGCGAACAGAGAACGGAGGAAGGAAGAGCTCCCGCCGGCAACCGCACGTCTGGGAACTGGATCGCTGCCTCAGCTCCAAAGAACTGAGCAAACGAGTCTGTGCATCGCCCCGAACATGTCAGGATAAGTCAGGCAACTCCAAGGAGTCGTCACCACATGGCTGGAAGAGAAGAAGGCAAGCAGACCACGAACGACACGCAGCAAACGGCTGCTGCGAGATGCACCCGACGAGCACTGGCCTGGGAAGCAACTTGAGGCTCAAGAGGAGCTGGGCCTGTACTATTCCTGCAGGCTGTGTCGAAGGGACAGCCAGACGGGTGAACCAAGCGGCCGGAGAAGCGAGCTCCGCTTCATGCTGAGGCTTGTCGCCAGCTGCCACGAAACTCCACCGGCCACGGGGCGCGGTCTCTCCCTTGCGGACCAAAGCCTCATCAAGTACAAGACACTACGGCCGCATGCACAAAAGCCCTTGTAATCTCGAGCACCGGAAAGCTTAGGGGCAGGTCGGTCGATGGGCAATGCAAAAAAGAGACCATTCGAGAGTGTCTGCCCCATCACGCACGAATACTCTTCAGGAGTCATGGAAGTTCAAGGGAGGCAAGCACCGTGAAAGCCTGCGAACACACGACGTGGGACCGGGAGATTCTGAGTGTGAGACTAGCTGCTGGTAGATCTGCATGAGCCGAAACCGTCGGTGATTCCAGACACCTGGAGAGAGAGCCTCGCGTGATGAGCACCTCGACCGAAACGATTGACCCGTCGTGGGATGAGCGCAGGGCGGCATGTGGCTTGCACAGGCTTGTAACCTGCATTGGAACATCGAAAGGCTGACCCATCGGGAACGTCCAACAGTCTGTGGCCGACGAGAGCTGCAGGGAGCATTGGTGCACTTGGCAACTTCCTCGCTGGGCATCGCCAGTGCTGGCACACATCAGGCATGCGATGAACTTCGCAGGCTCCATCAAGCCGAGCGAACATGGACAGGAATCAAAACTGCTGTGGATGTGCGAAGCTCCAGATTGCAGCAGGAGTAAGGGCAATGCACCTAGAAGGACCTGTGAAGGCCTCAGACATGCATCATTGCACAGTGGATGACGTTTGTCCCTCTGCCGTGCCTGAAAAGACTTGCCGCTTGCATGGAAGATAATTCCGTCGGCTTCTGAAGGCATGCGCGAATGGCGCAAACCTGTGGGATAATCCATGCAAGCTCGACGACACTAGTCCACTAGACGCTGACGGCACAGCCAACTGCCTGGACCTGATGCCACTGGCCCTGCTGGCTGCCGCACCCAGTTGCACATGCGTCGCAGGTCGCAAGCAACAGCTGTGGAGGCCGGGCTCAAGCGTCTCTCGGTTCTCAAGCCGTGGACCCACGACATGTGTGCCGGAGGCAGATCACACAACTCCAGCATGCTGGACCAAGCACCGGTGCATTCCGCCTTTGCAGAAAGAGGTGTGCAGCTGAGAACCGATTCAGCAGAGCAACTCCATCCAGATGCATCCAGCGTCTGCATCGTCACGATCGGCCACGCAGTGAGTCCAGCGCCCAAGGTGCGATGACGCGGAGCCTTTGAGCACCGCAGTGCCCGGAGCAGAGAGTTCTTGCCTCGGCCCTGCCGGAAGAAGGATCCATGTTGGATTCAACACCGGATATGTTTCAGAGCGGCTGCACAACAAACAGACTGAGGGCATCGAGGCCTCTTTGCGAAGATTTGTGGCGCTCCTTCGCAAAGCTGCCGAAGTTGCTCATGCAATTATTTGCGCTGCAAGCAGGGCTGTGTGCGACCCCTGCAGAGCATCTGGCAGGAGGCAAGGCCATACGATTCCTCTCAGCTTCAGGAACCCCGGACTCGGTGGGCTGCCAGGACCGAGTGCAGACTCAGGCTGGCAGAGCTCCGCCACTTTCCAGCTGCTGCCAATCTGGTTGCATGCCCGAATACAAGCATGGGCCCTCTTGCCCCTCGCAGCCTTGGAAGAAAAAGCCCGCTTGAGCCTGACGTAACAACCCGACGTCAAGCACGACCTTGCCGTTCGGGCTGCAGCACATGGTTGAGTGGGCGTCCTGCAGCACGAATGAATCTGAAGGGGCGTGCACTTTCGCACACGTCCGCTCCTGCTACAGAAGACAATGGCGCCAGGATGCACGCACCGCGTGTCGCCATGGAGCACATGTCGCATGTGCAAGCACGTGCACTGCTCCTTGGGACGATTCTCCAGCAACAGCAACACTGGCAGGCAGGGATGGGAAGGGCACAAAAGCCGCCGCCCGCATCCACATCAGGCAACGTACATGCACGCAAGCCAGCTGGCATAGACAGCTAACATAAGGGCGTGTTAGGACAGCCGTCAAGCATGCGCACCGGCTCCCATGCCTTCTTTGACTTGTTTGGCATTGATTCGCGGCCCCAGCCTCCGCGCCAAGACCTTCATGCTTACGGATGCTTGCTGGGAGGCGAGACTTTCCGACAAGCACGGCAGGCAGGGAGAGAGGAGGCTTGGGCGGTACACAAGCCTCGGTCCTCGCCCAACTCACCAAGGCAACCCGCCCAAAAGCGAGGGTGCTTCGCTCAGGCCACCTGGCCGACGTAGCTGAT